TGCGGGAAAACGTTTTCCCTCCAAAGGGTTCGGCCACTCCATCTCTTAACTAGGAGGAAAATTTGTTCACTCCCTTCAGGGATATTCCACCGTTCCATGGCTTAGGTGAAAATCTACTAGAATTGGGACCCATGCCAAAACAGCGTCAGACCGAGTCCCTGGCTCTTCGTTCAGAAGGAAAGCGCCCTATATTTGCCTTGCTTATAACGCCTAGTGCTGAAGATGACCCCAAAAAGTGAGGCTAAAACTGGACATGAGAGCTATTCGAACTTAAGTTCTCCATGATTTCATGGCTACTCGCCAAATCAATCCACGTCATAATTCAAACCAATCGATCAATCTATCTTTAGTGAGAAATCTAGGTCACTGACCTATATAAACGAAATTTGGAAAAACTTCAAAGCGTACCTGCTTCTTTCCAAACAGCCGATTGAAAAGTGAGGAAATGGTTAACCCCATAATGAGTTGCAGTCACCTATAAATGGAAATCTAATGAATTTAGAGTATTTGTTCAACTTTTTTTGCAACCGTGCGCACGTCTAAGGATACGCGGCACTTGATATCGAACAATTTAACTGGACAATCAATAAATCAATGACGGGCACATCAAAAGGGTCCCATCAGCTGAGACAAAACGATCATCTGACAGGTGAGGGCCGCCATTCGAGGATGATGATACATGGAATGCGCCTGTGGTGGAAAGCGCCGACTCAACACGTGTATGTTCGATCGCAATCGGTCGCGATAGGACCGTCAGCTCATCGAATATCGCCGTCCTTTAAAATCTTTATCGTTTCGGTGGAGAATCTCTCCTTCCCTCTCCGTAAAAACAAATTCACAAAGAGGTTTCCAGCGAACCCTCCAGTTGAAATATCAAAAACAAGCCGTAATTCTTCTGGAAATCCTTGATAGCCGAATAATTACTGCACGATTTTGCATGAAAAACGTCCCCGCCAAGAAGGAGATTGCCATTCCCAAAGAAACATAGCCTGTCACTAGAAACAGTACCGATAAGACAGCGAGTACTGCGAGAAATGATCCAGGACGAGAAGCGCGAAGAGGAGAGGTGAACAGCGCAGCAAAAACGCGCCGATGCCAACGCCACAGGTAACACTTCCCTGACTACCGTAATCTCCTCATTACATCACGGCACGTTGCACGTTGGGAATCTCAGCGAAGGGGGGGGGGGGGGGGGAAGGAGGTCATTTCAGGTCCTTTTCGTGCTTGGGAAGAATTGACTTTTCTCCGTATTTCACGTGTCCTGTGCGCTAGACCCCATCCATTCACGCTCGATGGCAGTTTTTTCCCAAGAAAGGGTAGGAAGTAGGAGAAATTTAGGAATATGGTAAGTGAGATGGGAGGACGGGAAAGGGGGTGTATCGGAGCAGGGAAATTTGGCGGAGAGTCGTATTCTATGGAAGTTCTTCCCAGCGGGAGGACGTGCCCTGCCTTGTTGTTGAGAGCACTTGATGCCACTCAGGGGTTCACCGTGGGTGGTAGTTGGATGGTTAACGCTTTTGCCCCCCTCCCTCCTTCTCTGAACAAAGTTTGGCTCAGGGAGGCAAGAGTCGAGTAGAGAATATAGAGACGCTCGTATAATATCTAGGGTCATGTTGGCGTAGGCATTTAGAAACAAACTCCATATATAGATCGCTTGTCGTAAGCAAGGGACTCCTCAGCAGGAGGGAGGGGGAGGGGGGGGGGGTGAGTCGTCTTTGGAACAAGAATTCTTCTCATTTTGATTATTCTCTTTTACATCTGATCTTTTGGCTAACAGAATTTTTTCTGGCTGTCGACTTTTCGCGGTTTTTCCGTTCCACGTTAACGTGTGCTTTATACCTCCCCTTCCCCGTTCCACAAAGAGGAATTTTGGAAAAAAATGACATGAAATGAAGACTTGGAGGGAGTTCGCATTCTGCAAAAATATTTCCGGCTACAGAACGTGTCCTGATTATGGGGGCGGTTTGTTGCAACATCGTGAACCAGGGGAGGCGCAAGGAGGAAGTGGACCCCTTACCATGCATGCTCAAATCCGGGCTGATTCCTACTTCGTGAATTCCTACTAGATTCGTCTGGGAGAACCCAGACTTGACTATCGGCCAGCCCCAGCAGGTTTGTACGGACCAAACGGCACATAAATGCCACCACGATTCTGAATGAAAGTGGGATAAGTGGCGCATCACAGAAAAAGTTGATCAGAGCAAAAGTACCAAATTTATCATATATCCTCCACTCCGGCAATAATATCCTGATTTCTGATATCTTGTACCGAAAACAGGAGGAAATAGGAAAAACATTGTCATATTATATATTCTCCCTAAATGTCCTTTCTCGACCCGAAAATGCCAACAACAAGAGGAGAGGAATGGGACGGGAGGGGATGATGGTCGATTAGCAATGCATGAGACATGAGGCTCTTCCCCTAGATGGCTTTCCCAGTCCCATTGTCGTAAGCTCCCCACTTGCTATGGATTACAATCGGAACTATCCAGGTAGGTTATGCGTTAATCGTTATTGGATAGCTATCTGCCTGTGATCTGCCCCTGAAACTCCCATTTGGGGTTACGAAATTCCCCGAACTGAGGAACATTTTATCCAATAAAAAATCACGGTAAGTTCCGGTTTTCGAATGCATTATCACCTCCATCCCCAATTTTCCACCCCTCTCCCCTCAGTTTTATAGATCATTTAGTCTATGTAGGTGAGAGAGGCAGAGAACCCTGATTCTGGTAAGGACCTTTGAAAAGCGTGGCCCGTCTCCAGAATAGATCCTCGTAACAACTAACAGAAGTAATTGCTCCTAAAAACAGCTTGATTTTGATAATGTAGTTAATGAGAGCAGGGGGACGAGGAGGAGGGGGCAAAGGACGGGGACCACTCTACCAGCGCTTCCATACCCCCTGACTAGGGCTTAGCCTAAGGAATGCCATGTCTTTTATGCAGAATTATTACTTGGCGATTCTGGTAGTCTGTCCTCTTATCCTAAGCTTTATGCGGAATGGACAGAGAGGCACGGTGGTGTCCCCCCCCAACTGCGTCAGCATCAAAAAAAGATCAATATTTTAAAAATAAATAAAATAAAAATAATAAATTACAGATGGAATCAATCGACGTGGAGCGGCGCCTCAACAGAATTCCACCTATCTGGCCTCAGAGACGAATTTTCTACGCGCTGCCGAAATAATGACAACCTATGCGTATGGAGAAACGTCGCATGATGACAAGGAAATCCAGGTGGGTTTCACAGCTGTGCCCAGATGGCCGCGCAGGAAGCAGGTTCCATTTGAGGCCACAATGACTCATTAAAGTTTTTCAAGCGCTAAATTCGGAACCATTTAGTGTCTCAATCCGGATATCGCGTGCAGAGTCGTAACTGAACAATTCTGAAGGCAGATGCTATTTGATAATAAGTGGGGATAATAGTCAAATTCCATTTCACCGTAATACAGGGTCACCAATGTGGCAACGACGCGTGCTGTCAGCCGTCGCAGGCATGCGGACAATGTCGCTGGCGCAAAGCTGATTTTACTTGGGTTCCTCTTTGCCAGAAGTCCCTCCTCTAATAGACAGTTACGGACAAGAAACAATTCACTATCGAATGCCCGCCGACTCAAGCGCGCAAAACGCGCACGGCCTGTTCTGCGGACACACCTACATTTGATGCACGAAGATTTCTAAGCAGATAATACCAGTCCTTCATCATTAGAACTTCGGGCGGCCACAGCCCGCGCTGCACTGTTGACGCGACAGGCGGGCGGCTCGGGGCGAGCGAATCAGCTCTGATTTCCGTATGGAGTTAGGCTGCAAAATTTCTTACTTTCTTCAGATCTTCAAGCTCTAAAGTGGGAAGCCTGAAAATTACTGAAGCAATTTTGAATTGTACTGGCTCTGATTTCCTTTATTTTTATGTCGATTATATGCTCTTTTCCTTGTATTTTGCCTTATTTCAGGCATTTATTCAAATGGCTTGCATTCTTTCAGATTCATTCAGAGTCAGTACAATTTAAAATTGCTCAAAATAACTCACCTTCCACTTTCGAAGCTCGAAGAGTCGAAAATGGATTCGCCAGCGAATTCAATGGAAATCAGCTGATTCCGCGTCACGAGCCACCAGCCCGCTGTCGCCGTATATGCAGCGCGGCCCTGGCCGACGCGACACTCCCCCGCTAACTGACCGAGGCCACTGTTATAAACTAATATCACCTAACATTTGTGCACAAATGAGCGCGCATAACGTGGGAGCGCCATGAGAGGCCGCTCGCGTTTTGCGCGGCTCATTGTCATAAAATGTTTCACTATTCCTCGAGAATCAATGGTATCTGCCATGTTCAAATACAATAATATTTACTAAATAACTAAGATAAATAGCTTGAAATTAAAAAGAGTTGAGTTTTGCAGACGTCATAAATGGCCTGCGCTCAAACGTTTGGGGGGGAGGGGGGGCTGGAGGGAGGTGATGGTTTAGGCCTACATAATCGTGATTTATTTCAGTGCGATCTGATCACTGAAGATGGTGGTCATGAAATCGATCCAATGCGACTGAGTTACAAGTGAGCATTGTTTACTCATTTATTCAATTTTGTTTACTTATTTGAGGAGGAATAAATGCTATTTAAAAAGAGAGGCAACTCAAGCAGTTACCGATCTGAAAGACAAAATTCCACAACAATCGGGTGGGCGGAGAAATAGGCGGAGGCTAGCCCATTTCCGCCACTTCGCCAATCCACCCACTTACCTCCCATACAAGTATCGTGGAATGTTTTTGAGCGTCTCTTTGACGGCGCTCAAGCACTTGACAAAGTGGTTGATACCGACCGATTTAAATTTGCCGATTATCGATTGACTGAGTTACTCAGGGGTTAACCGCCAATCGATATTACGTTAAGAGGAACGTATAGCCTGGCCATCTGACAGAGTCTGTTATAAAACATCAAGTCAAACGGTATCCGATGTTGGGACAAGCGCCAAACATGCCCTATAGGTACGTGCACATTTCCTTCATGATAATCGATTTTATCGATTTACAGTGGGACAGCTGTGCTTTACCAGAGTCGCAGGATTATTCTCACTGTCGATGCGCTTTAGCCTTTGTCTACCAGGCGATTGCCGTTGTCGACAAGTACTATCGAATGGATAAAATCACTGATATTCAGCTGAAATTTGATACAGGTTACAGATTTTTCTCGTGAAGGTGCTATGGTTCGCTAACTGGTACGCGACGCTGTGAGTTCTGCGAGTGCCGCTGCGTGCGGCTGCGTAGCGGTCCCGACGGATACATTTCAGTTCCACTGTGAGTGGCTCATTGTTACTCCAGATATCCGCCAGAATGTATGGTGTGGGTCCGACCATTGAAAGTGGGGCCTGCTTGACAAAACATGACGTCGACGCGCAGCGCGCAGCACCACTACGCAGCCCATAACCTTTTCGCAAATGCTCGGGAAGGCAATATGGGTGAAGATTTTTTTGTTTTGTATCGCAACAATTTAGAAGTAATTGATTCCAGCACGTTTCCGCTGCAAAACCTTGTGCAATCTTAATCGTATAAGGACAGATAGATACGAGACGAGGACGCAGGTCAGCAAAGATAGTACAGTATCATTTGATATTGGACCGTCAGTCACGCCAACTAGGGGGCCGCGCGACTGTTAAAGGTCCACGATCTTGCGTAGGTGATCTAAGAGATACTTCGCTCTAGATACCTCTCATCAAGCCGAAGCTCTCGACAAAATTCCGAAATTAAGGCACTATTCAAACTTCAATTCTGTCTGCCAGAGGGGCACCTTACCGGGTCATCGTCTCGTGAACTCACGATTCGGGCGACGCGGGCTGATTCGCAGGTTGCAAAATTCGGACTGGGGCCTTCTAAGGCGCGCGACGCTCGTTACGCTGGGCGTGGCGAGCGTCGCCGCGCACACGAAAGACGAGTTGCTCTGCTTTACCGTCTGACTATTCCTAGGTGGCACTATAAGATTGGCGGCGTTCCAGGAAAATCTCGAAGGTGTTCACTCAGTCCACAGTTTTCACGAGATCGTTGAAGCTTCCTTGAGACTGTCTAAAACGCCAGAATAATTGTTTCTTAAGCTGGATGTATTTGAATCACTTATGAAGAAAGCGGCGAGCGGTGGCGAAATACTTGAAGACCTAAAGGAGGCGGTCGATACAACCAAAACCCTCCTGCCTCCAGTTCACATTTCAAGAAAACGAAGAGGCGCGGACAGCAAAGGAACATTCGAGCCGGTAAGTTTGTCCGATATATTGGGGGGAAGGGGGAGACCATATTGAGCGCGCTGGGCCTGCTAAAGCCACACATGATGAACATGTGATTTTAAGGCGAATTCTCGTGTGTGGAAGCGAAGACGATGAATGTGAGGTTGCATGCTCGCAAAGTATGACTAAAACGTATACAGTTTCGAATGAATGGCCCGGCCGCACCAGAAGGTTCTCCAGCCAGAAAGGCCGCATGCAGTGATTGCATCTCTGCAAACAATAGGGCGTGGCTCTGCTGAGCGCAGCCAGGCGCCGAGTTTACCAATAGTAGCGGGCTCAGAAACATTTTTGGTGGAAAAAGGCCGCCCCGGCTGTGCTTCAATCCACGCCGGCCACGCGCCCTCTCGTTTGCTGGGATTATGATGTACGTGTTGCGTTGCTTTTCAGCCCAGATAGATTGATTGAGCACACGAAGGGCGCCAGTCTTTTTTGGACCTCTGATACACTCCAGGATGCGATTGCAGAGTGATGGGTCAGCGGCACTTTGCGCGCTAAATGGATGGGTGGGGACCGAGCTTCCTATTCAACCCTATTTCCACTAGTAGTGAGGCAGTGAAGACAACTTTAAAACATAGGAACTGACTCTAAATTTTGGATTTCGCCCAAATTTGCTCAATCGGGACCAGTGGAATGGTGGCAGATGTCCACCCAGTCGTAATGACCATATTTGTGACAGATACCTGGTTTCATCCTCGTAAGAGGAGGAGCCTCATTTTAGTCTTCTTTTTCAGACTCCCACTGAGTCAGACAAGGTGTGCATCTGTGCGTTCGACAGAGTCACTCACGATGCGTGGCCTTGCCATCCGAAGGTAAGGTTTAGCTCACTCCGATAGGATGTGAGTCTGCGACGCGGGTGTTCACGACGCGTCAAGCCCTTCAAATCAATGAACATAGCTTCTTCGAGAAATTATGGGTTCTCGATGTTCTCGAGATTGGGAACATCTTCTGCTTCGCATTGATCTCTTGGGACCGCTTCGCGTCTGCTCGCATCCCAGCCCGACAAGGCTGCTAACAATATCACTGTTCAGAATGTTTGGCAGAACACCACATGTCAGTTCTGTGACGACCACATGTTTTGTCAGAAGTATTCAAAGAACGGCGAACGGCAGAATGCGCCATGCCTTTGTGGGAATGGCGAGGCTTTTTGCATGAGATATGATCGGGTAAGTTAGGAACATGAGCTCTGCAGAGATCCTGACCACTACTCTATACCTATAGATGGCGAAGTTATTGAATTTGTGGGAATTCTTCACGGAAGTGGAAAAGGTTACGAACATCTCAGGCGACGAGATTGAGGCACTGGGATTCGGGGTGAGATTACGCACTTTGATTGTTCAGAGGATCGCCTGAGGCAGCGTCCAGACTTCGCTGTGACGCGCGACGACACGCTACGTCGGCGGCGGCCGCTCCTTTTTGGAGAGAGTATAAGATAACAGGAGTGTAGGCGCTGCCTCCACACAATCTGGTACCTCCTAATCCCCATACTCTTTCAAAATACAAGCGGCCGACGCTGATCGATTCCCGTCTGCAGCTGAGTTCGCATTTATGGCGCGTTAGAGCTGCTGCAGCGCGTCGACGCGCTCATCGTGAAATCTCAATGCAGAATATGACTGATGAAGTGGCCATAGTAACTAAAGCTAAGGAGAACATAATATTCGCAATGAGTGCAGTAAGCGAACAACAACGGTGAGTACAATGCAAATGGCTTCCTTGTTTAGGATTCAGCTGATTGTTTGGCGTATGGAAGGTCAGGAGATCCACTTTGCGGCGACTCGAAGTAACATTTGGTATTTACAGCCTCGTTCATACATTGACTCGGTGTTTCGAGAGAATCAACGTTTTGAGCGAAAAGGGAAGCATAGGTATCGATCGGGCGCCCAGAACGCTGATTCTCCAGAAACGCCGAGTCGCAGGGTATGAAGGCAGTCCTAGCTGGCTGACTTGGTCTGGTGTTCCACTTCCACGGAGGATCAGCAAGCTCTTGATGGACTTCCACGCATTCAACGCCACCTGCAGCACGCCGCGTCGCAGCGCCGCAGCGTGGACATTCTGACCGACACTCGATGATGTGAATTCGCGCCCACAAAGCTATATCGCGCTCCTCGAGAGACAATGAGACAGAAGTTTTTATCCAAGCAACAGTTACCATAATTGGGAACGTTTCAGGAGAGATATGTCGCAGGCAAAGCACAATCTTATCCATAAGTGTTCCTTCAATGGAAAACCATGTGACATTGACAGGTATCTTGAATTTAGTATTTCTAGTAAAACAACTTGAAAACGGTTGAGGAATAGATATACCTGAAGGTCACGGCGAGGAATCCGACCAGAGAGCAAGTGACGGAAGAGTCGCGTTGGACCTCGTTTATACTTTGCGACTTGACGTACCAATTTGGGGGTTGCCCTCCATGGCTAATTGTTGGACCTCCGCAACTGATACGAACTGTTGATTCGCAGTGGAGCGCGTTTTGAGAGAATCGTGCCAGCCACGATTTATAAACCCGGCCACGCAAAAACAATCGTAAAGGGGCACCTTCGCGAAAGTAGAAGAAAGAAGGGAGGTAAGCAAAGGGTCAGAGTAACCATAATCTAACCGCAATGCCAAGAATGATTGGGCATCCAAGAAATGAAGAAAGGGGTTCCAGCTTCTGTACCGTAGGGCTCACCAATGCGCGCAGTTCTGCGGGCAGTCAAAATGGTTCAAAAAGAACCCGCAAAAATGAGTCATGAAATGGTGGAGGGGGGGGGGGTAAGGAGAGACGTGGCTGGTGCTCTCGGGTCAACCTGTAAGCTGTAGTAAGCTGTAGTAACTTATTCCAGTCGAGTTCCTTACAGAGACTTCGCTATCATCTCTGATCCAACTTTTGGCAATTGCTTTACCTTTCAATCACAATCGCTCGGATTTCAAGAGCAGTCTGAGAGCAGGACCGATGCATGGTAAGTCGGACTTGCACGAGCAGGCTCGTCCTCAATCGAACCAGCCTACGTCCAGGTTTACGTGTGATGCTATTCGTCAACGCGTCGGACTACTTACCAACATCTGAAGCAGTTGGTGTTCGTCTCACCATCCACGACAAGAACGAGTTTCCTTTCCCGGTGAGTGGCAGATAAACCCACAAAAGCGATTTCTAGAGAAGAATTTTGAAAAAAAAACGGGTAGAGGTGTTGAGGGGTGCATGCAGTTGCTTGCTCACGTCACGTATGCGCCCTCCTGCCGAGATAGTGTCAGTGATCAACTCGGCACTCAAGTGGCAACATACACCTGTTTTCTATTATTTAATTATTATATTATTTGTGAGGAACGCGATGACAAATATTATTATTACTAATATTTGTCATCGCGTTCCTCACAAACTATACTTAGCTGCATTTCACGGCTATCTCTAATACTATCTCGGTGAGAGGGCGCAGACAAGCCGTCTCAGCACAGCCACGCACCCAGGCCTAGAACATTGCTTCCAAGCGCAACGAGCGCGGAGCTACAAGCGGGTCATTTGCGTGGTATTCGCACCAGGACCCAATTCATATACCATGGTAGCGCTGCGGCGGGTCGACT